AGTATGAGCTGTTGATTTGGCCAGAAACGCTTAAAACTGACCAAGAAAGTTTCAGCTGATGTCTACTTTTTTCCAATAAATTTCCTGTAGCAAGCAGAGGTATTCACAATCATGTCATTGATTAATGCTGCTCTTACACTACAGTAATAGACATTCAATACCTGTCAGTTATTGTTGCAGATGATGTTTCTCCTCCTGAATGCATTTAAAAATATAAACCTGATTTAGTAATTCTTTCCTTTACTTTTTCATCTCCTAAGTTTATTCAAAAGGCCCAAACAAGTATTTGCTAGTATCTGACTAAATAAAAGCTTCTAGAAAGCCGGTAAGTGCTGTTAAGTCAATTTTTCTTTGCCTTTTCTCTCAAGGGGCCAATTTGTCCCTTTGTTGACAGCTATCAGAGCACTTCATGCTTCATTGAAGACCCATCAAAAATTTCCAAACCACCAGCTCATTAGCACAAAATGGGGCTTCAGGAATCTCTTTCTCTCAGCATCCTGACTGGGCCTTACTAAGTGTTCCAACCTCGGTGGACCACTGAAACAATGGATAAAGACCGAGAGGAATTGAGAAATGAATGTTAATTAGTAAGTTCTGAAAGAGTGAAATATGGGTGAAGGCAAAGTACAACAGGGTGAAAAGCCGGGATTATCTGTGTCAGCAGAAGGATGATGGGTGACTTTGCTAACTCTTCACAGGTCACTGAATGTCAGAGCTGAAAGGGCCCCGAGCTGTCAGAGCCCCAAGACATCATCTGGTCAGGCCCCCTTACACATTTTACCAGTAAGGGTAAGAGAGGCCACAAGAAGGGAAAGGGACTTGTCCAAGGTCAGTCAGCTTTTTCCAGCTTTCCAGACATCGGCTGGCTTTTGGTTATATGACCTCTTATGCAATCAATTTCCAATTACTTGGGCCACTCACTGCTAGCCTAGCCATCACTTGGATAATCCAAAATGACACATAAGTTAACCATCGTTTACACTGGGCTTTGTGATGTGTGTTTATACCAACATTCCAGTGCATCTGGGTCTAATCTGAAAATTCACAACACTTCAAATGAAGTATGAAAGCCACCCTGAAGGTCTGGTTCAGGAAGAGCTGGAAAGTTGACCAGCCTTACTGAACGGACAGCATCATGAGATGTTATACAGCCCTTCAAGCAGGGTATGTTAATTTCAACAAGTTTGTTGATTCACACCTTTCCTGGGCCCCAGCCAGAGTCATGAGTGGGGTGGTGGGAAGGGGAAAACAAAATATTTTATATTAATAGAAGAATATATATATTCTTTTCCCACTCG